AAAAATCTGAATCAAACTCAATAAAATTTGGCAGAGGTATTTTCTAGCTGTATCTGATGTCCGGTAACAACTATCATTGTTGAGGAGTGCATATTGCGCTCGTGGGAGACTTTAACCCAAAATCAGATGAAACATATATATGGGAGCTATAGGTATATCTGAACCGATTTTCACTAATATTTGAAGTACTTATTTTTGGACTGAATTCCCTCGGAAGTACTAAAATTCAATTCATTTGGGCTGGTAGTAGCCATTTGTTGCACAATAAACCATATACGGGATAAAGACATTTGTTGGAGCTAAATCTGATCCGATTACGATAAAATTTGACAAAGGCATTTCTGGGCTATATCTGATATCTAGTACCAAATATCATTATTGTGGAGTGCATTGTGCAATGTGAGAGGCTCACACACCAAATCGGACGAAACATGATAAATGGGAGCCATAGCTACATCTGAACCGATTTTCAAATTTGACGTATTTATTATACCCTCAGCCATATGGCTGCAGAGGGTATATATCATTTAATAGGTCAAAACGTCCCTAGTCAAAATGACGGTTTTAGACCCTAGGTCTCTTTGGATCAAATCCGTTTCAGGATATTTGGAGTCGATCTAGCGATGTCCGACCGAATATCCGATGTGATCCAAACTCGGTATATCGTAATATTTTTGTCAAGCTTACAACGAGTTCGGAGATGGGCAATATCGGTCCACTCCTTTTGGTAACTCCCCCACAAAAGGTCGAAATTTTGAAAAAATGTATTTTTTTTGCACAGAAAGAGAAACGATAATCTGATTTTGCTCCAACTTTGCAAATCCTAATATTTTCGTCAGTGCTAGGTCAGGTGCGAAAATAAGCAATATCGGTCCTTTCCATTAAGTACCTCCCCCAAAAATGGTTGAAATTTTGAATGTCCATAAAGCTCATAAAACGCGAAATTAAATTAAATTAAATTACGAATAAATACATAAAATCTATTAATAACAGTTTTATCCGTTGTGGCTTTATATTACCCAAAAAAAACCTACACATCATATTAGAATTCAAAAAAAAAACACTACAAATGTACATTCGAAAATAGTAAGTCAAAATGGAAAAAAATATGCAATATAAAACATTACTATTGTACATTTTAAAAGTCAAAATGAAAATGTTCAAATTTCACATTTTTACGCGATTTTTTTTTTGGATTTTATTCTTTTCTGCCAAGAGGCAATTCCGAATTTGTCTAAATCGTTAAAATCAGACCTGCGGTCTTTATGTTATAAGAGTAGTAACTAACACAACTTTCTTTTACATATAGAGAGATAGATTTAAAAGTAGGCGCGTTCCTCAGCCCCTAAATAAGTACTTGGGGTTGGAGGGAAAGCCAACAGCATCTCGTGTAATAATTCTCAAACCGATATCTTCACTATTTTGGCAAATATAAAGATTTCAGATAAATCGTGATAGTGGGCGTAAAAGGAGGCGTGGTCAATATTTTTTTCTTCAAAAACCTAACTCGGGATATGACGAACGTTTGTACAAAAAATTATGCAAATCGGTCCAGCCGTTTTCAACTGATTCCGTTACCAACAAACAACAATTGATTTTTATATATATAGATTTATAGATTTATTTAGGTACGATATGAAATGGATGAGGGTATACGTCTGTCGGCAGAACCGACTGATAGTTTTTAACTTGTTATATCCTCTACCAAAAAAAGTATGGAGGCTATATTAAGTTCGTCATTTCGTTTGTAACTCATCGAAATAATCATTTTAGACCCAACAAAGTATATATATTCTTGATCAGAGTAAAATTCTAAGACGATTTAGCATTATCCGTCCGTCTTTCGTTTAGATCACACTACAGTCTAAACGAATTAAGATAGGAAGTTACAATTTTGCACAGATCCCTCTTTTTGGAATTGTCTGAAAATCCACACAAGTAATTCCTTGTGGGTACTTTATACCTCGGCAGAGAATTATCTGCCTCCGTATAACGGTACCCCCCGGTATTTGGCATTTTGATGATTTTAGCCACATTTTTCAACGGAATTGTCTGAAAATCCACAAAAGGAGTCCCTTGTGAGTACTTTACCCCCTGAGAGAGAATTGTCTAAACAGGTTCACGATATCGTATATCCCCCATACAACGGTACCCCCCGATATTCGGTATTTTGATGATTTTACCCACACTTTTCAACGGAATTATCTGAAAACAAGGAGTTCCTTGTGGGTACTTTATACCTCGACAGAGAATTATCTATATAGGTCCACGATATCGTATAGCCCTTATATAACAGTACCCCTGATATTCGGTATTTTGATGTTTTTAGCCATATTTTTCAACGGAATGGTCACAAGGAGTTCTTTGTGAGCACTTTACCCCCAGACAGAGAATTCTCTATATAGGTTAACGATTACGTTTAGCCCCCATATAACGGTACCCCGCGATATTCGGTATTTTGATGATTTTAGCCACATTTTCCAATCGTATTGTCTGAAAATCCACACACGGAGTTCCTTGTGAGCACTTTACCCCTGAAACGGAATTGTCTATATAGGTCCACAATATCGTATATCCCCCATATAACGGTACTCCCCTATATTCGGTATTTTGATGATTTTACCCACATTTTTCAACGGAATTGTCTGATAATCCACATAAGGAGTTCTTTGTGAGTACTTTACTCCCTGAAAGAGAGTTGTCTGTATAGGTCCACGATATCGTATATCCCCCATATAACGGTACCCTCTGATAATCGGTATTTTGATGATTTCAGCCACATTTTTCAACGGAATTGTCTGAAATTCCGCACAAGGGGTTCTTTGTGAGCACTTTACCCCCTGACATAGAGTTCTCTATATAGGTTAACTATATCGTATAGCCCCGTATAACGGTACCCCCGTTATTCGGTATTTTGATGATTTTAGCTATATATTCCAATGGTATTCTCTGAAAATCCACACAAGGATTTATTTGTGAGCACTTTAACTCCTGAAAGGTATTTGTCTATATAGGTCCACAATATCGTATATCCCATATATCGGTACCCCCGATATTAGGTATTTTAAAGTTTTGAACAGAATTTTCAATGGATTTTATTTTTTTGAATATTTTCTAATTCGTTCCAAATGGTGGAGGGTAATCAAAGTTCGGCCCGGTCGAACTTACTGCTTTTTTACTTGTTTTTAGGATGAATTAGGTAGGGATTGCCAAGAATCAGCTTATTTGGGCTGATATTGGCCATTTGGTGCATAGTTAACCCGAAATCGGTTGATGATGTATATGGGAGCTATATTTAAATTTAAACCAATTCTTACAAATTTCAATAGGGTTCTTCCTTGGACCAAACAAAAAATTTCATCTCAATCGGATAATAAATGCGACCTGCATTTTGTTCACAAGTGATTCTATGGAATCCTCAAAAGTAACAATGGGTCTTTCTCGCTTCCTTCTCCATGTTACAATCAAATGCACAAATCCATTTTAGGGTGTATGGTAAAAAACAGGCAAAAATCAATGCCCAAGACAAAATTTGACAATTTATTTTAATTATTATTTGCGATTTATTTTTTAAAAACTAATAATTTATATAAAATCCCTGCTACTCTTAACTAATTTCCGGCAATAATGAGAAAAGACATTTTTCGGCTTATATCTGTAATAAACCCCTCGACCTTTCATGTTATGTTGATCTGTGTAGGTGTTTCCTTAACATGAGTAACATTGTACAGGAGTCAAGATAGATCTTTATAAGCCTTATGTCAGGTGTAATTTTCATTAAGACCCAACCTATTCAAACTCTTTGAAATATTTTCCTTCAAAATTTACACATTTTAGACCATAACTACTTCAATAAAATGCAACATTCCAGGCCCAGCGCCTCCGCCATGCTTTACGGCAATTTGGGAATATATATTGGTATATGTTATATCCTCCACCATAGTATGGAGGGTATATTAAGTTTGCCATTCCGTTTGTAACACCTTGAAATATACATTTTAGACCCACAAAGTATATATATAATCTTGATCAGCATAAAATTCTATGTCGATTACGATGTCCGGCCGTCTCTCCGTCGATGAAAATCACTCTAGCTTCCGAACGAAATGAAGTAGGTTAATAAAATGTTACTCAAATGTGTATTATGTCTGCAGGACTTTTGGTATTGAAAATGGGTCATGCAGGTCCACTTTTTGGTGTAGCCCCCATATAATGGTAACTCCCTTTTTTCGGTATTTTGGTGATTAAAGCGACACTATTCAGCGGAAATGTTTCAAATTTGGAATTTGAAGTTCGTAATGGGTACTACAGCCTATGACAGAAAGTTGTCTGTGCAGGTCCAAGTCTTCGTATATCCCCATATAACGGTACCTCCCGATATTCGGTATTTTGATGATTTTAGCGACATTATTCACCGGAATTGTTTCAAATTTGGAATTTGAAGTTCGTAACGGATGCTACAGCCTATGACGGAAAATTGTATGTGCAGGTCCACGTCTTCGTATAGCCACAATATAACGGTACTTCCCATTATTCGGAATTTTTATGGTTTTAACTACTTTATTCACCGACTTTTTTTATTCAAGTTTTGCATATGAATGTTGTAATGGCCTATGACAAAAGTTACCTATGCAGACTCACGTCGTCGTATAGACCCTTATATAACGGATACATTCCGTATTTTTAAGATTTTAACGGGTTTTATGTTTTTGAAAATTGCCAAAATCGTTCCAAACGGTGGAGGGTATTCAAAGATCGGCCCAGCCGAACTTACAGCTTTTTTACTTGTTTTACTTTTCAAGTTATTTCGGTATTAAATCAATGCTGGCGAATTCTCGCTGGACTAACTGTATGTGAGTTAAAGATCTCGATAAGTTCTTTAATCAAACCTGTCAGTTATATACTTTAATTGTTTTGAAAAGCTAAAAAATGGGCTACTTGTGCCAATTTCTACTTGCATCTTCCTCACCGAATTTCCGTTGATAAAACTTACATATTCGTTGATATTTATACGATGTATTTCAAACTGATTTGAATATTCATTAAAAATATAATACATCTTTCCAAATTCGACAACCCTAAGTGGGTCGTAAAATCATTTCAACAAATTTCATAGAATAATAATCCCCTTTTAATGGCTGCCAGACCACTCCTTTGCCATATTGCGTTGTGGTACCCTTTAGATAACGACCGTTAAGATTGCTGAAACATAAATTTTGAAAAATTAACAAATTTCCTCCTTACGTTTTTTAAAAGACATACCTTCTATGACATTTCTTATACCACCAAGCCCCAGTATATTCAACCGCACAACTATTACCCGACTCATCGTTATCTTGATCTTTTGTACTGAACTTCTGACCCAATGAATAGGACAAACCATCTGTGGCGGAGCCACTATATTTACCCAATTCTTTCAAGACATATTTCTCTGCTTCGTTGCCAATTATAAATTGGTCATACCTCGCAAAGCGACAATCGTTTTCCCAATCTTCGATGATAATGAGCAACTCATAGGGACGGGAATTGGTGAGTTTGTTCAATTTATCCAGGCCAATGAAAAATTCTCCAGAGCTGTTACCAAATCCCTGTTTATACTCTGCCCACGAGCGAAAGAAATCCTCCGAACCATCCATGCGCCGCTGTATGACAATATCACCCGACTTTTTGGTATTCTCTCGAATCGCTTTAACACTCGACTCCAGTTTTTGTATTTTCTCTAGAATTCCGCTAATTTGAGGATTTTCATTTAAACATTCCGTTAAATTCTTTTGAGTTTCCTCTAATCTTTTGTGGGTGTGCAGGAAACTTTGTTCCAGCTCATTTAGTTTTCCATGAATATCAAAGAGGATCAACGTTTCATTTTTTTGTGATTGTTCCAGCTAACATGTAAATGTCGGAAAAGCTTTAAAAGTGATTTATCGATTTAAGAAATAAAAACATTTTCATCTTTACCTCTTCCATTTGAATTCCATTCAAAATATTTAAAAATATTAAAGAAATTGCGATTACTTGTGTCTTTGTTGAGATTCCCATATTTGCGTCCGGTCCGTTTGGTTTACTTTCGTGCAATGTTTTAGAAAATGAAAGAGTATTAAGAGATTGCAGCTGGTTCTTTATTCTTGCTTCTCGACGACATGAAACAGTTCCCCGGTTTAACCCACCGGTTCGCTTATTTTCGTTACTCAAATGTGGAATAAAAATTGTTTTGCACAAGATAACGTTACGATAATTGTGTTTCTCAGCTTCCGATCCAAAGCCAGTATCAGCATGCTTAAGAATCTTTCGAAAGCAAGTTTAGAAAAAAATATACACGAAAACAATAAAGAAGAGCTTTAATTTTTGCCTTGTCGAACTCTTGAAACCCTACACCATGCAAAAACTTACTACAAGGTCAGTTTTCTAAAAGTGCCTAACCCTTCCAATCGGTTTAAAGGTGTGTTTAAGTTTTCGCAATAGCTGTAAAATTATAAAATTACTGACACCGAGCTTGATACTGTGATCAGCGCCTTAAAGACCCCGTAATTTCGAATGATGCCCTTCTATGAAGCTTATGTCAAAATGATGATCGATATTAAGGCAGAAACGTACTAAATACTTTAAATCTGGAGGTATGGGCCTCTAGTAGACATATTTCAATTCCTTAAATAATCACGGGGAAAATTCAGCCGATTCTAAAAGAGCTAAAAAAGAAGACACGTGTATCAGCGTTTTGAAATTTACATCACAGAATAACCAAGTGGGGGGGGGGGGGGGTATGTTCACTCCTCTTCCACACTTTTGGAAATTTTAAGATAAAGATTCCTCGGAATATGTGAATTTTATGTATGGGATAGAAAAACTGCAACAAAGACAAACACCATATTGTTCCCTTTTTTTAATTTTATAAAATGAGAGCAAAAAAGATCGGAAATAGCACCAAATTTTAGAATAAGATTAGTTTTGTTCGAATTGGTTACCTTCGCCACGAATTATGGCCTTCAAACGGCCAATGAAACAGTCACACGCTGCCCGAATGTTGCTCTGCGGTATTTTGGCCCATTCTCGGCGAAGCGCTTGCTTCGCTTGGCCGAAAGTGGTGAACTGCCGAGTTTGGTTTTCTCCGATGAGAAAACTTTCGTTGTCTGACAGTTTGTAAACAAACAAAATGATCGTGTTTATTTGCCAAAGAGGTCAGCTGAAAATGTGCACCTTTGGTTGGCCATCAGAACTCAAGAGCCGGCCATAGTGATGGTGTGGGCCGCCATAACAGCCGATGGTCGCTCTCCGCTCGTATTAATCGACCGTGGCATCAGAATAAATGCCGAATATCATGGCGGAAATATTCTGGAGGGTGTATTAAAGCCTTGGGCAAGCATTTTGACCATAGACCTCGGACATTCCAACAGGACTCAGCACCATCGCACTCAGCACGCGCCACCCAAGAATGGTTACAAAATGAGGTTCCTCGCTTCATTTCCAGCGCACAATGGCCACCAAAATCTCCAAATACTAATCCGTTGGACTATTGTGTCTGGAGTATTTTGGAAAGTAAGGTTGGCACTAAAAAATATCAAAGTGTCGATCACGGGGAATGTGCCAAAATGCCACAGAGCAACATTCGGGCAGCGTATGACGGTTTCATTGGCCGTTTGATCGCCATCATTTGTGCCAATGGTGACCAATTCGAACAAATGTAAACTTATTCTAAAATTTGATGCTATTTCCGACATTTTTTGCTTTCATTCAATAAAATTAAAAAAGGGTTACAATTATGGCTTTGGTTTTGTTGCAGTTTTTCTATCTCACCCTGTTGATATATTCCTGATGTTTAGGTAAGGTTTAGACGTTTGGCGTCTTTTAGAAGCTATAGCAGAATTTTATGACAAATAGTTTTGTAAAATATCGATCTCGTTAAAAGTGTGATTTTAACCACATTTTAAACCAGCAAATAAAGTCTTAAAGTCGGGCGGGGCCGACTTTATGATACCCTACACCACTTTGCTAATTTAGTAGAGCTCCGCATAACAATTAAAAGTTTTTATGGGAGAATTCAATCATACACAGACTAAATATGCCGAAGCATTTGTATCTTTTAAATTCGGATTTGTATTGCCCATTTGATATATAGGAGCTATATCCAAATCTGAACCGATCTTGATAAAATTTGGCAACGATATTTCTGAGCTGTATTTCATATATTTCCCTGAATATCGCTGTTACGAAGTGCATATTACAGCTATGGGTAACAAATATAACAAATCGGATGAACAGTATATATGGGAGCTATAGCTATATCTAAACCGATCTTCACCAAATTTGATATACTAGCTTCTAGACTCAATTCAGTCGTAAGCTCCAAATGCCCATTTGGACAAATATTAGACGTTTGGTAAATCGGACGAAGTTATATATGGGAGCTATATCCAAATCTCAACCGATCTCGATAAAATTTGGCAAATGTATTTCTGAGCTGTATTTGATATATTTCCCCAAATATTGTTGTTACAGAGTGTATATTACGGCTGCGGAGGACAAAAATAACAAATCGGATGAACAATATATATGGGAGCTATATCTATATCTGAACCGATTTCGATCAAATTTGGCATTATTATTTTCAGGCCTAATTTGGTTGTATGAGCAAAATTCCATACTATTCGGACTGATATTACACGTTTAGTGCACAATAAAAAGCAAATCGGACTAAGGTATATATGTGGTATATATATCTAAATTTTGACCGATTATCTCCAATTTCAATAGAGTTCGTCCTTGAGCCAAACAAATGATTTGTGCAAAATTTCATCTGGATAGGGCAATAAATGCGAACTGTACTTTGTTTGCAAAAATACATGGACAGACAGACAGACAGACGGACATGCATAAATCGACTCAGAATGTGATTCTATGCAGATCATCAAAAGGAACTATGGGTCTATCTCGTTTCCTTTTGCCTGTTACAAAAAAATGCTCAAAGACATAATACCCTGACAACCTTGTGGTGTAGGGAATAAAAAGGACCAAAAAACGCTTTGTTGACGCTGTCGAGGATTAAAATACCAAATATTCCTCGTATTTTTCTCTGCAATATTGCCGAAGACAATATATACCTAAAATTCACGGATTCCGAGTCTTAATTCGACAAGTGTTGAAGGGGGTGAATTTGAATTACCCTATTTAGGCTACTTTGCGATGTAAACTTTTAAAACGCCAACATACGTGTCTTCTTTTTTAGCTTTTTTTATAATCTGCTGGATTTTCCTCGTAATTACTGTTTTTGTTGCACAGTGTAATTCTTTGTTATCCTTTTTACCTTATCTTTTTCAATTTTTGTTTAAATCCGAGGTGGAATACTGTGGTCCCTTTAAACAAATTTTCTTAAAAAAAATCAACTATAATATAGAATAATATATATAATTTTTTAATTGTAAAATAAAATTTGATTTTTTTATAAATATAAATACAGTTAATTGTTTCTATTAAATAAAAAAATGTTCTGTTTAAGAAACGCCTAATTATGTTGCCTTTTTTGCTATCCAACGAACCTTGCAAACACTCTCGAAACCAAGTTTATGGTGTAAAGCCTTGGATCCCTCATTTTCATCCGCAACAATTGTGATTAAATCCAAATTATGAATAGCCAAGAGACGTTTTAGTTCCAGTTTCAACATCATTCGTCCATAACCATGACCCCGTTCGGCTTCCATGGTATAAAGGAATCTACAATGAATATAATGCCACATTTCAACAAAATAAATTGAATGTTTACGAATGTTTTCTTACCCTGGATTGAGAAATTCATTTGTAGATATCCACGAAATGGGCTGTTCCATGCCACGGCGAAAGAGACCAATGCCACCATTGAATTCAATACATCTACGAATCAATTCCAAAGAATTTGCATGTCTCATAAACCAATGGGTATTTATCAATTCCGCGTGTTTTTCTGGGTCCAATGGGGCCACATAGAGTTCATCGGGTAGTTTTCTATAAAAAGCAGATATTATGAATATTTAAAATTTACATAAAAATCAAATCTAAAAAAATGCTCACTCATCTATTTCAAGTTTGGCAATTTTATCCTTGGTTATTAACATGGCATGCTCATGGCTGGGAAACATCCACTCGCCGGGTGGAATCTTTTGGCAGGCAACATTTTTCACCATCTCATAGAGATTTTCATCGCACATTAGCAACAAATTATAATTTTTCCAATTGATACGATTTGTTGACTCCAGACATTCTTTTAGTTCCGTTTGAGATTCTTGCAGGGTGAAACAAATTAGAAAGTAATCCTATAAATTGACGCAAATAATAATGGAAAATAAGTTATTGTCTTAAGAAAGGAATTGCAAATTGTAAACTACGTAATATGAGAAAGCGTATGTAAAATTTCTAAAATTCCACAATTTTGCCTTCATTAAATGTTCTGATAAAATCGATGATTTTTACTCCGATACTCCTAAGGAATATATTCTGTGAACATTTCAGAATAGTCGCTCTAAAATCGGAAAAAAATAAATTTCCCAAAATAACACTAAGCAATACAAAATAAAAAAAACAGTAGGGAATGGTCAAAAGTCGGGCGGGTCGACTATATGATGCCCTACACCACTATGCGTATTTAGTAGAAGTAGATCATACCAACTATGAATCGCATTTGAATGCATTACAGTAGTCGTGGCTTTAGAGTAGTCACAATTTAGGAACTATATCCAACTCTGATCCAATTTTCAGCAAATTTGACGGATGCCTTTGTACCTCTAGTATCAAATAACATTGATGTATGGTGCATGATATAACTTCCTTAAGGATTATCGATAAAAATATTTATTGGAGCAATAGATATACAGGACCCAGTTTCATCAAATGGTAAAATTCGGTTGAATATGAAATAAGTAAAAAGCAGCTAAGTTCAGCCGGGCCGCTTTTAATACCCTCCACCATTTTGAAGGAATTTGAAAATTTTGAAAAAAAAATCCAAAAACTACGACTAAAATGAAACCCGTTATATGGGGACTATATAAAGACGTGGGCTATAGTGCCCATTACGAACATCAAATAGGAAATTTGAAAATACGGAGAACCGGGAGGTATCGACCACTAAGATCTTTCAAAAAGAAATTTGCTTTCAATTTCATAGGCTGTAGTACTCTTTACGAACTTCAAATACGAAATTCGAAAAAATTCCCGTAAATAATGTAGCTAAAATCATGAAAATACCCAATATCGGGAGGTAGCGTTATATGGGGGCTATACGAAGATTTGAACCTGCATACGACATTTTTTGCCATAGTTTGTAGTACCCATTAGGATCTTCCAGTACGAAATTTGAAACTATTCCGGGAGGTACCGTTATATGGTGGCTATACGAAGACTTAGACCTACATACAAAAATATTTGCTGTATACCCATTACGAACTTCAAATACGAAATTTTAAATAATTCCGGTAAATAATGTCACTAAAATCATGAAAATACCGAATTACGAAAAGCACCGTTATATAGTGGCTATACGAAAACGTGGACCGACATGGCCCATTTACGAACTTAACCTGTCAACTGGTAAACTATGCATGCATGCATTTATCCTTCTATCTGAATTCGTTGGAAATATAGCGTGATTACAACAGACAGACGGCCAGGCAGACTGACGCACATCGCTAGATCGTCTTCGAATTTTACGCCGATTCAGAATGCATATAATTGTAGGGTCTATTATAAATATTTCGAGGAGTTACAAACAGAATGGCAAAATTAATATACCCTCCATAGAATGGTGGAGGGTATAAAAATCTATTCAATTTGCGCTGATGTTAAATATGTGGTGGACGATAATGGTAAAATCAAATTAAGATGTATATCGAAGGTACATAAAAATCTGAACCGATCTCGATAAAATTTCGCAGAGGTATGTTTGATCTTTACCTGATGTCCGGTATCAAGTATAATTGTTATGGAGTGCATACCACGCATTTGGGGGACTTCAACGCCAAATCAGATGAAACATATATATGGAAGCTATAGCTATATCTGAACCGATTTTCATCAAAAATTGCAGAACTTTCTTCTGGGCTGGATTCCGTCAGAAGTGTAAAAATTCACTCCATATGAGCTGATGTTAGCCATTTGGAGCACAATAAATCTGAAATCGGATGGGAGATATATATGGGGGCTATATCTGAACTGATCTTCACATAATTTTAAGCACTTATATCTGAGCTGAGCTATATGGTACCAAAGATCATTATGGTAGAGTGCATATTACACATATGAGGGACTTAAACCCCCAAATCGAATGAAATATATATATGGGAGCTATAGCTATATCTGAACCGATTTTCACCAAAAATTGAAAAACTTGCTTCTGGCCTGAATTCCATCGGAAGTTCAGTCCATTTGGGCTGAAACTAGCCATTTGGTGCACAATAAAGCTAAAATCCGATGAGACATATATATGGAAGCTAAATCCAAATCTCAACTGATCTTCACAAAATGTCAAGCACTTATTTCTGAGCTGTATCCGATATCTGGTACCAAAGATCATTGTTGTGGAGTGCATATTCACCAAATCGGGTGAATAATATATATGGGAGCTATAGGTATATTTGAACCGATTTTCACCAAATTTGAAGTACTTATTTCTAGAATGAATTCAGTCGGAATTACCAAAATGCTGGTCATTTGGACTGGTATTGGTAATTTGCTGCACAATAATCCTGATATTATTAACTTAAAACCCCAAACAGGATGAAACATCTATATGAAGCTATAGCTATATCTGAACCGATTCTCTTCAATTTCAATAGGGTTCGTCCTTGAGCTAAAAAAAAATATTGTTTGGAAATTTTCTTCTGAATCGGATAATAAATGCGACCTGCATTTTGTTCACAAAGATGGACTCACATGCATAAATCGACTTAGAAAGTTACTCTACAGGGATTCTCAAAAGTAACTGTGGGTCTATCTCGCTTCCTCCTCCATGTTAAAAACAAATGCACAAAGACATAATACCCTTACCACTATGTGATGTAGGGTATAAATACTGGACAAATCCAGTAGATTATGAAATTAGAGCTGAAAATAGAAGAAATGTGTAACGGCTTTTAGGAAGTTTATAACGTAAGGTAACCTAAATAGAGGCGAAAAGTTGCCCCTCTTGCACATTATTTCAATATTTTCCTATTCGGCAATATTGCTGGTAAAAATATGAGAATTATCTTAGTAGAAAATGTTAACCCTCTAGTGAGTCAGCAAATAATTATTGTTGGTCCTTTCTTTTTAAACTCGCTCATAGCAAGTCTAAACTTCTTGATATTTTTGCCAGTGTTAGGCCAGGTGTTAAACTTAATAATAATAACCGCCCACTCAATCAAGTACATCCCCCAAAGGGTCAAAATTTTTAATAATTGCAACTCTTATCAAATATGAAATAAAATTACGATTTTCTTCGAAGTTTACATTTTCCAATATATCTGTCAATATAAGATTTGGTTAAAATATGGAATATATTGAACCACTCCTTCTTTTACCTCTCCCACAAAGGATCAACATTTTGGCTATTTATAACACTTGCAACATGCAAAACAAGTCAGCGATACTCTTTAAACTAATTATATCTCAATGTTTGACTAAGCTCGAGAGCTGATGTGAATATGGAATTTTTTGATCCTCTCCTACTCTCTTACAAATAAGTCATACAATTCTTTTACATTAGTTCTAGTGTGAATATGGAATTCATCGGCCCATTCATTGAAGTATCTCCAAAGAATAAAATAATATTTAATATTTCTATAAGCCATAGAGGTAATGTAAATATGGAATATGTCGGTCCACACTATGATCACCAATAAAATAGAGGAAGTTATCGTTATAGTCTAGACAGACAGACAGACGTGCCTGTAAAATAGAGAAGGAAATACCCATAGTCCCTTTCCATGATCTGCGTAGAATCACATTCTGAGTCGATTTATGCATGCCCGTACGTCTGTTCTTGTAATTTTGTGAACATAATGCAGATCGAATTTATAATCCGATTGAGATAAAATTTTTCGAAACAATATTTGTTTGGCCCAAGGACGAACCCTACTATTTTGGTGATAATCGGTCAAAGTTTAGATATAGCCCCCATATATATCTTCTTCCGATTTTCTTTTTGTTGTGTACCGAATGTGTAATATTAGTCCAAATAGGAAATTTGCCACATGCGACCAAATTGAGCCTAGAAATAAGTATGTCACGTTTGGTGAAAATCGGTTCAGATATAGCTAAAACTCCATTATAAGTCCGTTACACCCGTAATATACTCTCAATTTGGTTCCTGCTATCAGATACAGCATGTAAATACCTCTGCTAAATGTTATAGATATCGGCTCATATTTAGATATAGCTCTCAGTTCACTATTTAAACTTCTCAATTGTAGCACAAAAATTTCGATACAGGTTCAAATTATGACATTTGTGGGTTCTTTAAAATACATTCTGCAAACGAATTGGCATTTTTGTCAGCTAGCTATCATGACATGTCTTATTAAAATTTGGGACGACCCGGGCATATTTCTCCAATTTTATCTTTCCTAATGAATTAGGGTAACAAAAGTTCGACTCAACCGAGTTGAATGTTTTTGTTATTAAGTTTGCAAATTTACCTTTATGTCTGAAAACCTATGTGCACATGTATGCTTTTCGATACTTACCCGATAACTATTGATTGTAATCAATGTACAATTATTCGGATCTCCGCTACGATGTGTATAGAATCGAACATTCCAACGATCCGATTTCAGATCATGCCGATTGTTGTTTATGTTGTCATAATGATAAAGATAACTGCGAATGAAATTGTGCTGCTGGGTACGGCGCGGTAAGAGGGGCTTGAGCACAGCCAACATAGCCTCCAATTGGGGTTTGGTACATTCCACTAAAACGTCAGTGTCACACATCTTGACCAGCACAATTGGGGGTGAACAATTTAAATATGAAACAAAATTAAGAAGGAAAAAAGAAACTGGCAACCTTTCTATTTGATGTCTGCCAAGAGACTACATGACGTTCTGTCTAGAGTTCTTCAACAGCTACAAACTAATGTAGAATATTATTGCCTAATTATCTACCTGAAATCTTCTAATCAGTCATTCATAGAGGAGAGGTAATAAAATGTGTGTAAACAAATGTGTGGGTGTGTGCGAAAAGTTGATAATGCAAAACTGCTTTCTCAGTCTGACTGACACCGGGGTAGTTTGCAGACAATAAACCGATTTTAAATTGCATTTACCTGCACTTTGTTCGAATATTCATATTTACAATATTTATTTCAAAAACTGCCCTTAAAATGATTTAGTATCTAAAAATACAAAGGAAAATTACAGAAGGAACAGAAGTTGTGGAAAATTCCAACAGGGGATTAAAAATCAATCATTTCTTTTCGAGCAAAAAGAACCATACCAAAGGCTGACATAAACCGGGGAAGTTTATTGTGGCATCTATTTTATGGAAATGCTAACATGATATTCGACATCACGTTGTGACATTGTGTATTTGTCTTGGGGTAATATGATTAATCACAATATGACACTTTTGTCACCCTCCACGTTAGAAAGGGGTGGTATACTAAGTTTGTCATTCCGTTTGTAACACCCGATATATAGAGACCACACAGAGTAGGTGAGATAAAAAAAACTGCAACAAAGCCATAATTTTTACATTTTTTTACATTTTATTGAATGAAAGCAAAAAATGTCGGAAATGGCATCAAATTTTAGAATCAGTTTAGATTTGTTCGAATTGGTCAGCTTTGGCACGAATTAAGGCCTTCAAACGGCCCATGAAATCGTTACACGCTGCCCGAATGTTGCTCTGCGGTATTTTGGCCCATTCCCGACGAAGCGCTTGCTTGAGGTGATCGACACTTTGGTATTTTTTAGTGCCAACCTTGCTTTCCAAAATAATCCAGACGTAATAGTCCAACGGATTGGTATCCGGAGATTTTGGTGGCCATTGTGCGCTGAAAATGAAGCGAGGAACCTCATTTTGTAACCATTCTTGGGTGGCGCGTGCTGAGTGCGATGGTGCTGAGTCGTGTTGGAATGTCAAAGGTCTGTCGCCAAAATGTTTGCGTGCCCTCCAGAATATTTTCGCGATAATATTTGGCATTTATTCTGACGCTACGGTCGATTAATACGAGCGGAGAGCGACCATCATCTGCTATGGCGGTCCACACCATCACCATGGCCGGCGTTTGAGTTCTGGTGGTCAACCGAAGGTGCACATTTTCAGCTGACCTCTTTTGCAAGTCAACATGGTAATTTTGTTTGTTTACACACTGCTGGACAACGAATATTTTCTCATCGGAGAGTTCTCAAATTCGGCAGTTCATCACTTTCGGCCAAGCGAAGCAGCTCCTTAGCTCTTTTGAGTCTATTTTCTTTACGTTGCTGTGTAAGTTCTTGCACGGTCCATTTTTTTCGGCAACTGCGACGCGGGTTTCGATAAAGTCTCTTCCTTAATTTTCGAACCATTTCTGCTGATGTTGCTGTGTTCTTCCGTCCCCTTCCTTGACGTCGGGCTACGCTACCAGTATCAGGGTAACGAGCAATGGTACGAGACACAAAAGATTTATTCACATTTAAATGCTGGAGTGCCCTAACGATAGCCACCTGTGGTTTTCCAGCCAAATATAAAGAAATCACACTATCACGCTTGAATTCCATTACGAATAACTTTTTCTCGGGAAAATTATCACCAAAATGCTTTTGTACGCTTGTAAACAATACAATGAGCTGTCACTGGAATAATTTTAACAGCTGTCGGACGAGTGGCTTAGAAATGACAGCACCCTGTAGTTGTACTCAGTTGTTCACAAAAACGGCCTAAGGACAAACTCTATTTAAATGGATTTAGTTTTGGTGATTATAATTGGATGAGTTCAAATCGGTTCAGATTTATATATGCGTCTCATTTATAAATTCCTTTAAGCCGTAGCAAAATCAGGTGTGAAGTAATAAATTTATAAATATTTATTCTGACAGTATTAGAATATGTTTCAATGATCAATAATCGGATGATGATTATTTATCTTTCTATATGGTAAAGTACTTCATTTGAAAACGTTGGCATTTTGAGCGGAAGGTACATGAAGTTGCGGACCGATATTGCCCATCTCTGAACTCGATCTAAGTTTGGATCATATCGGATACTCCCTTCGAGAGTTTTCAACCGTTACCATCAAGACAAACGGACGCCACTAGACCGGCTCTAAATATCCAGAAATGGATTTCGTCCTGAATGGATTTAACATACTTTTGAGTGCGGGTGTGGCGTTGGAAAAAATCTAACAATTAACAAGTAAAAAAGCAGTAAGTTCGACCGGGCCGAACTTTGAATACCCTCCACCATTCGGAACGAATTAGAAAATTTTCAAAAAATAAAATCCATTAAAAATTCTGTTAAAATCTTTAAAATATCTAATATCGGAAGGTGCCGATATATGGCGGAATATAAGATATTGTGCACCTATATAGATAATTACCTTTCAGGGGTTAAAGTGATCACAAAGAACTCCTAATGTGGATTTTTAGATAATACCATAGGAAAATAAGGCTAAAATCATGAAAATACCGAATAGCCGGGGTACCGTTATATGGGGGATAAACGATATCGTTTACCTATATATGTCAGGGGGTAAACTGCTCACAAAGAACCTCTTGTGTACAATTTCAGACAATTCCGTTGAAAAATGTAACTAAAATCATCAAAATACCGAATATCGGGGGTACCGTTATATGGGGGCTATACGATATCGTGGACCTATATAGATAATTCTCTTCCGAGGTATAAAGTACCCACAAGGTACTCCTTGTGTGGATTTGAAAAAAATAGGTAGGTAGGTAAAATCATCAAAATACCGAATATTGCGGGGTACCGTTATATGGGGGCTATACGATATCGTGGACCTATATAGATAATTCTCTTCCGAGGTATAAAGTACCTACAAGGAACTCCTTGTGTGGATTATCAGACAATTCCGTTGAAAAATGTGGTTAAAATCATCAAAATACCGAATATCAGAGAGTACCGTTATATGGGGACTATACGATATCGTGGACCGATATAACCCATCTTCGAACTTGACCTGCCTGCAGACAAAAGAGGGATCTGTGCAAATTAGCTTCCTATCTTAATTCGTTTAGACTGTAGCGTGATTACAACAGAAGGGGAGACGGACGGACATGTCTTAAGCATTTTACGCTGATCAAGAATATATATACTTTGTTGGGTCTAAAAAGTTATTTCGATGAGTTACAAACGGAATGACGAACTTAATATACCCTCCATACTATGTATGGTGGAGGATATAAAAATAAATATTCAGCGACATACAATTATAAAATCTTCACAGAGTGAATATGAATTATATCGTTTAACTCTTAAAAGAAATTTTGGGATGTGCCAATTTTAAAAGAAATCGGATGCTCATTTCTTTTTTTTATTGATCTTCAAGTCTCTTCAAAATTTTGACCCGTTATGGGGGACGTACCAGAAGGAGTATATCCCATCTTCAAACCAAATCTTTTGCAAAAAAAAGTTTGGGATGTGTAAAATTTGAAGTCAAGCGGATATTTATTTCATATTTTATCAAAGTGGGGGAGGTATTTGATGGAGTGGGCACCTGACCCAACACTAATAAAAATATTAGGATGTGCAAAGTTTGAATTTGGGCCATTCTTTCTTGTTCTATACGGCAAATTATTTTCTGCGAAAACTTTGACCTTTTTTTGTTGGAGGTATCAAAAGAAGTGGTCCAATATTGTCCATCTTTGAACTCAATCTAAGTTTTGATAATATTACAATGCAAGCCAGATAGACAGACAGACAGACGATAGGACGGATACCCAACATCGACTTCAAATTTGTCTAAAGAGACTTCAACGAAACTCTTTTTGACCGTATCAAATGATATACCCAAAAATTAATATTTCGCAAGGGCTCTAGAAGCCCCACACTGTGTACGCTTACGCATTATACCACTCTTTACCGTAGCAAATCTTTGGCCTTCCGTATAAAAAGGGGAAAATGTTATATTCCAAAAACTTTCATCAATTGTGAAATCAATGTTGAATTTTCTTCAAACTTTATAAATTTTTGAACTGTGCAATACAAAAAATAATGCACCAAAATTCTAAATCTTACCCAAATGCAATAAATTCAAAAATATTAAAACACATTTAAAGGTTAAACCCTTATTTCATGTGGAACTATGTAAAATTCTACAAAACATCATTTCAAAGAAAAAAATATCCTTCACCAAATTTCACAACAAGTCACTAAAGAAAGAAAATCTCTGTTTTCAATATGAATTAAAAAACTAGAAAGAAAGAAAAACGTCGAAAAATTAATTTTCAAATTTCGTATTCAAAGTTTGTGAGGTCTTTGACAAGCCCCCCTATTACACTACATCCCTTTACTAGGTATTTTGATTATTTTAGCGACATTATTCACCCAAATTGTTTCAAATTTCACTTTAAGAGTGATGTAGAAAAAAGGGCCCATTCCCGGACACAGAAGACTAATCGCTTGAAAAATGTGTCTTAAGTCATAAGAATAGTGAATATCGGGATGTACTGTTACATTGGGGCTATAGGAAAACATGACAATAAACTGGCACAAAAGGTAGAACCTATTACAAACACTAAGGTACTTTTAAGTGGAAGTTATACGACCATAGACTGTAGTATCCATTATAAACTTCAAATACCAAATTTGAAAAAATTCCGGTGAATAATGTCACTAAAATCATCAAAATACCGAATATCGGGAGGTATCGATCGGGACAGACAATTTTCTGTCATAGGCTTCAATACCAAATTTGAAACAATTCCGATAAATAATGTCGTTAAAATCATCAAAATACCGAATATCGGAAGGTACGGTTATATGGGGGCTATACGAAGACTTGGTCCTGCACAGACAATTTTCAACTCCAAATAACAAACTTGAAACATTTTCGGTAAATAATGTTGTTGGGAGGTACCGTTATATGGGGCTTATACGAAAACGTGGGTCTGTGTACGCAATTTTTTGTCATAGGCTGTAGTACCCATTACGAATTCTAAATACGACGTTTGAAACAAAATACCGAATATCGGTAGTTACAAACGGAATGACGAACTTATATATACACTCCGTACTATGTATGTTGGAGGGTATAAAAACAAATGAGGTTAGCCGACAGATATATATCCTCAGCCGATTTAGGTTTATTATACATACATTCTGACTTGCGCTATAATCATTCGAAATACTAACCCCTTTATGGCCCACAGGAGTAAGTTAACAATGTTGGGTTCCCTTGGTATATGGTCAGAGTATATAAACTCTTTAAAAAAAGTTTAGCCTAAGAACTATTATAAAAAAGGAATACTATCAAATCCACATGGTTTCTTCCACATCCCAGACTGACTATTGGACAGCGAAATTATAAGAAACAAAATTATGCGAATTCGGAGTAAGTGCCAAAAGCTTTGAATTCAATGAGAAATATTTCTGACTTTGACGTCGTGCTTCTTACACAATGACTTGTAGGATAATTTTATATGAATTTCAAATGAAGCTCGACATAAGCTCTGTGAGTTTTTAATATTTATGAATTCCTGTCTTTAAGGTAAGATATAGGTAATGATGGATTCTGGGAGCCATAGTAGAATTGTATGAATTTTTAACCAAAAGACCGAAAATTATAATAATGTTGAATAGGGGGGAATTCGCTACCTCTAGACTTAGCTCCACTTTTATAACCCACTGGGGTTTTCCTTGAATTATGAAAAAAATTAATTTTGTCGCATAGTGTAATTGTACATTAAAACAAAATTCGGTATTGAGTGTTGTTTATAACTTTATTCTTATAATATTTTTAGGAATTATGTTTTTTTATTGTAATTACTGTTTAATTTTATTTCTTTTTCTTTTTGTTTTGCAATTTTCCAAAATATTGTACATAACTACATGATTTGTTTTCAACAATTTTACTTAGAATCATTATTCTATTTCAACAATACTACTATGTTTGCGGGTGTTTGGATGTGATTTAAAAATCCCTTTTTGAAAACAAAGGAAGACACTTGAGGTGCTAATTATTTTGCTAAGCTTTCGGACTGACATTAGATGTGCTAAAACAGCTATTTAGAATATTGTTTAATTTTATAAGAATATTTAAATGTATTTTGTTTTGTTATTAATTTAAATTAAATTCCATTTAGTTTTGTCTTATTACTAGAGATAAAACAAAAAAATATATGAATAATATATCTATAATTGTAGACCTGCTGGTGTATTTACATTTTTTTTGTCAATATTTGAAAGCTTGGCTTGTTTTAACTATAAATATTGCTGAATTTTCGTGTTGCTCTTGCTGTTGTTTAAGTGTAAATAAATTCTTTGAAAAATGGTCTTATTTAACAAAAGGAAAATTCTGTTATGGTTTTTAAATAGATTTTCTTTACATTCATTACTTTTTAGGTTATGTTTGTTAAGAAATATAATTGCGAGTGTTTGTTTGTCTTGTGACTTAAATTACAAAAAATATATATATTTATATAGAATCATTTTTGTTAAAAAATTATTACTTAATTGATTTATAATAAGCTATCATTTAGTTTTTTTTTTTTTAAATAAATACTATGAACTTCCAACTTCCTCTTAGATTTGTTGTAGAATGTTAGCCTGGCTCCATAAATGGTTGTCTAATTATCTTCTCGTTTTGTTGACTTTTTTCTGTTTCTTATAAGCGTTTTAGTAATGTGCATCTTGTATTCCAATTCTGCTGCCCCTAATTGCCATTGGAACTTAACGTTGTTTGTGGTGTCACATCACGGGTACAGGTTGGCAAGACATAAGATTTCGACGTCGATTTGTTGGGAAATAAATCCGAAACGTAGTTGGTCTAGAGGGGAAGTAAAGCAAAAGTAAGATAAGTAAAATTAAAACAGATGTTTAGTTTATAGCTTTACATAAAATTCTAGCAATATTTTACAAATAGGAAAACATTATTACATGTGCCTTAAAGTATGCTTTGAATTTTTAACCTTAACCTTAATTTCAATTCTAATTGGACTGGGGTTGAATTATTGGCATTGCCGTTTAAAAGAAAGAAAACTATTCAAGGATTCTTGTCTCGACTAAGAAAAAAAACCAAGTTTGGTAGTTTTGCGTGTAGGGTTGCCAAGCCTAATTAAATTTACTGGAATTGCAAAGGCGATTTATAGAATTGGAAAAAAAATCCATAATTTCAGGAAACAAAAACCAGACATTTTTAACATGTAGTACCTAATGATGGGGCATAGATATCCATTGCAGTTTAATTAGAAGCTTAAAATATAATTTTATAAATACTATACCACCACACACATAATGTCATTTACACACTGATTCGAAGTCCCATGTGTTACTGTTGTGTTGACGAGATTGTCAAGGAACAATTTTGACCGAAAAATTTGGGACGTAATCCTCAAAAAGAAAACAAGGCTTAAGTTGAGTTTAGGAGCTATGCTTGGATTGACCTGTAATTTTTATCACAGGTAGGTATTTTGAACCTGATTAAGGCAAATCAATTTTTTTGTAGGGGAAAGACACGGTTATAGTTTTTTCGACATAATCTTCGGAACTACAAGAGATGTCAGCACATTGGCATCATTTTGAAAAGAGTGTAGGCTATAAGAGTGTAGGTATCACTCCATTTTTATAACCTCCACCTTGAAAAGGAGGGTATATTAACTTTGTCATTCCGTTTGTAGCATCCCTAAATATTCATAAAGTATACACATTCATAATAAGTGTAAATTTCTAAGTCGATTTAACTATGTCCGTCCGTCTGTCTGACTGTCTGTATGTAAAAATCACGGTACAGCCCACATTAATTGACGTAGAGAAAAATTTTGCAGAACAATTTGTATTGTGTCTAGGGGTATGAAAAATGGGACTGTGATCATCATGCTTTGTAGGAAAATGTTGCGTCTTTAACCCTAAAATGGCGTTAAGATAAGGTTAAGGCTTTTCAAGTGTTCTGGGACCTCTAGTAGAATTTTATGACAAATACTTTGACTTGACCCGATCCCGTTTTTTACTCTACAATAATACAGGGTGGGATGAAAAAACTGCAACCAACTTCACACTTGTCCGACAACTGTTAAAAATAATTCCAGTGGCAGCTCATTATATTGTTTACAAGTGTACAAAAGCATTTTGGTGAACCCCCATCGTAGTGGCCGAAAAATGGCTCGTGAGCTGAACAAATTGCAATATTCCATTCAGAAATATTGAAAAATAAGTTCGGGGTAAAGCCATTGAAATTCCAAAAAGTACAAGAACTTACACCGGAACAGAAAGAAAATAGACTCAAAAGAGCTAAAGAGTTGCTTCGCTTGGCCGAAAGCGGTGAACTGGCGAATTTGCTTTTCTCCGATGAGAAAACATTCGTTGTCCAGCAATGTGTAAGCAAACAAAATTATCCTGATTACTTGCCAAAGAGGTCAGCTGAAAGTGTGCAACTTCGGTTGGCAACGAGAACTCAAGCGCCGGCCATGTAGATGGTGTGGGCCGCCATAACAGCCGATGGTCGCAGTCGCCCGCATTTTACAATTATAGACCGATCGAAATGTAATTTTGCGTAGGGTTAGGGTTTAGGTCAGAACAAAATTTTGGATGGTAATCGCATAATATTTGGCGAGTGAAAGGGATCACAAATTTTGTGAGAACAAGTAAAAAACAAAAGGTTCGACGGGACTTTCAATACCCTTTATCATTAGGAAAAAACATTTTTAGTAAATGTATCTAGTAGATTCAACCATTTTCCACTTTAAACTACACCGCAGGATGCACCGTTATATGGGGGCTATAGGAAAGCATGGGTCAATATAAACAATGTTATGCCACAAGAGGTACACCCGATCACAAAATCTAAATATAAAATTAAAAAAAAAAAACAAGTTAAAAAGTATCAGATGGTTATGCCGACATTTGCGTACCCTAAGCTAATATTCGTTGACCTATTAAAAATGTTGATTATCTATGGGGGATTAATCCGGACGAGTGGGGCAATATTGTTCACTTCGTACCTGACCCAAGTCCAATATAAATATTATAACGTGCCAGGACTATATCAAATCGATTTGGACTATAGAAAATGTCGGAATTTGCGAGAAGTACCTGATGTGGTGGAACGAAAGAATTTGAAGAGAATCGGATGCTCATTTCGTATTTTATAAGTGTTATAATTATTCAACATTTTGATTCAAGGTACCAGAAAGACTGGACCGGATTTGCTGTCTTGATTCGCAAGTAACGAGAGATTAAGGTATTGAAAATTGTGACCCTGTTGGGGTGAGGTACCAGTGTCGATGTCTATCATCTTCAAATCAGCTCTAGAATTGGAAAGAATATTGGAATGTGTGAAATTTGAAGAGAATCGGATGCTCATTTCGCTTTTTATGAGAGTTATAATTATTCAAAATTTTGATTCGAGGTACCAGAAGGCGTTGTCCGATATATTCCATCCTCATCCCAGGTCTTGTGGTAATAAAAATATCGGAGAACATGAATTTTAAAGAGAATAGGATTCTTATTTTGCATTTTATGAGACGAACAATTATTCAACAATTTGATCAATTTAGGTCATGTATCTGAAGAAGTGGTCCGACATATTTTATCTTCACACTAGATATTGTGTTGATAGAAATATTATGATTTGCATAATTTGAGAAAAATTTGATACTTTTTCCCATTTTATGAGCGCCATAGTTATTCTAAATTTGGTCCCGGGTATATGGGCCGATATACCCCATCTTCAAATCAGATCATGTGTTAGTAAAAATATTATGATGTGCCGATTTAGAAAGGAATCAGATGCTCTTTTTTTATTTTATGAGTGTTTTGGTTATTCAAAATGTTGACCACTTTGTGGGGAGGTTTCCTGAAAGAGTTGTCCGTTCTATCCATTATTAATATCAGATCTTGTGCCATTCGAAATATTGAGATGTGCCTAGTTTGAAGACAATCGAATTCTTATTTCTCCTCTTATAAGAGTTACAATTATTCAAATTTTGACCATTTGTGAAGGTCAAGTACCTCCATTGAGGTCCATTTCATCACCTTACCTAGCCCTGATACAAAATATTAAAATATCTGCAAAGTTTGAACAAAATCGAATTATTCTTTTTATTTCTTTGAGTTAAATTGTTTTTTGGAAATTTTGATCTTTTGTAAGGGAAGAACCAGATATTGGCCATCTCCGATCTTGATCTAAGTTTGATAATAATATTACGATGCACAGATATGTGACCAAATCGAATACCCCCTTTGAGAGTTATCGTGCGCACCAGGCTAGATCAACTCCAAATATCCTGAAACGGATTTGCTGCAAAGAGATATAGGGTCTGAAACGATGAGGCGCATTTTGGTCGTATCAAATTATATATACCTTCAGTAGCCATATGGCTAAGGCTATAAAGATCCCATTGGGTATCCCAAAGATATCCGAGACATTGACGAAGACGTTAAAATGCAAAGATTCTAATTAATCTTAGTCCGAACATTTCAAAAAAGTTGGAAGAGGTGAAAAGTATTCCGTTTATTTATACTACTTTGCTATGGCGGGTTTCAAATCGCCGATATGTTTGTCATTTATTTTTAGTTCTCCTTTCATAATCAGCAGGATTTTTATAACCTTCAGAATATAATGGAGGGTATATTAAATTTGTCATTCCGTTTGCAACACCTCGAAATTTTGGTTGGAGACCCCAGCATAAACTTTTAAGTCGATTTAGCTAGGTCCGTATGTCTGTCTGTCTGTGGAAAACACGATAGACTCCACATTATTTAGCACAAAGATTTTTATTATATGCAGGATGATCGGTATTGAAAGTGGGCTATATTGGAACACATTTAGACATAACCGCCTCCAGATTTTCGGTTCTCTCTCTCTCTCTCTGCAAAAAATTTTCGCTACAGGCCTAATTGGTATAACCCTCATATAACGATATTTCGCGATTTTCCCACTAAATTAGATGTTAATATGGGTTTCATTATTTGGATCAGCTGAAACTTGAAATTTGGGGTTCTGTTAATTCCTTGCGGTGTTCGATTCTGATCCACTAATTTGCATAGCCCTCCACATAAAGGTACCTCCCAATTTTCGGTATTTTGAAAGTTATTACCACAATTTCCAACCAAATTAGAATATGATATGGGTTTCTTTATTTGGGTCATTTTTATAACCTCCACCATTCCATTAAGGGTATATAAGCTTTGTCATTTCGTTTGTAACTCCTCGAAATATTCATGATAGACCCTACCAAATATACATATTCTGGATGAGTGTTAAATTCTAAGGCGATTTAGCGATATCCGTCCTTCTGTCTGTTTGTCTGTTGTAATCACGCTATCTTTCGAACGTGTATTTTGCCAGTAGGCAGGTTAAGATTGTAAAAGGGTCGGTCCACGTTTTCGTATAGCTCCCATATAGTGGTACCTCCCGACATTAAGTATTTTAATGATTTTAGCGATATTATTTACCCGATTTTTTTCAAATTTCGTATTCGAAGTTTGTAATGGGTACTACAGCCTATGCCTAAAACTTGGAGTTTTTAATGATATTGGAATTTTTAATGATTTTAGCGACATTGTTTACCAGATTTCTTTAACATTTTATATTCGAAATTTGTAATGGGTACTAGAGCCTGTGCAAAAGCGTATGCATGTCTACGTCTTCGTATAGCATCCATATAACGGTAGCTCCTTTTATTCGGTATTTTGATGATTTTAGCGACATTTTTTTGAAGATCTTAATGGATACTACAGCCTATGACAAAAAATTACATATGCAGGTATTCGTATAGCCCCCGTATAAATGTTATCATTTAAACGATATCTTTCGGAATTTGTTAAAAATTTTCAAGTTTCTTCCAAATGATGGAGGGTATCAAAAGTTCGGCCAGGTGGACTTAGCTGCATTTTACCTGTTTTATTTTAATTTTATATTTAAAGTGAATAATTCTACTCTTTTCACTATTTCATTTTACTTTGATAAACATAGTGGTGGAGGATATAAAAAGTTCGGACCTTAAATCCCTTTTTACTTGTTTTGTAGAAGGGCTTTTGACAAAGGTCTTCTAGACATTGATTTGGGTCAGAAAAATGGTGGCCCCGTCCACAACATTAATGATTTTTCTAATTATGTGCTATACATTTGCTCTAGCATGTAGTAGTCTGTGAGCTGTCTCTTGATTATGTTAGCGGCAATAAGAAATCATATTCATTTACAATAAATTCATTTGGAGCTTTTGTTGTTTTGCGTTTTTGTTGTTGTTGTTTTTGTTCGACTTTATGCTACCAGATCGTTGCCGATTATCTGTGTGTATCGCTGACCATTCGATTTGAATGCCTGTGCCGCTGCCTGTCTTTCTGTTTGTCTGTTTGTTTAGCTTTTGCGGATTGTTTTGCAAAGTGGAGGAGAGAAAACTCTCTGTGTAATGCAAAGTGATTGAATTGTATTGAAGTGAATTTTCCGCAGCAACATTGTTGCCCAGCGGACGATGACAATCATTTTTCCAATTCAATTAATTTGATTTGCGATCGAATGAAAATTACATGGCGCCAATAATGGGAAGTGAATGAATGGCTGTAAAACGAAAATATTTTCCCAACCGAAAATCGGACATTGGAAAATTTAAGAAATTTCTTGAACAGAAAAATGTGTTTCCATAGCATATAGCAATACAAGAAGGGGGGTTTTGAGGGCCTGTTGTCCGGCGGCTCTGGAGTATTAACGACTTTTGATGGGGTTTGAATGCTACCTGTTATGCAGCTCTAACGTTAAAACGATGTTAGATGGGTTTTCCATGCCAAGACAATCTTTTGAGGCCCTTTGCTCAGAAATGGCCTGGCAATCCTTCTCAAGTTATAAGTCCTTCACAACCTAGTCAAATGTATATTCCTGTTCCCCTTGATCCCCTAAATAAACACTTAAATGTTTACAATTTTTTAAGCTTTATTAAATTAAGTGCTTTTTTGAAGAGAACTTTCTTCTTTGAAGAATAAATCATTTTCTTTCAATTCTTTTTAGTATGAACCGGGGGCCAAACGGTATTCCAATTAAACCAATTTTCCGGCACCAAGAAAGTCTAAAAAATGAAGGGTGGAATAGAAAACAGTGAGATCAACATCAAGTTTCGAAACTAAGAAGCTAAGCTTAATGACAGTGGACACGCGACAACAAAAAAGTCAACACAAGTCATGGCTATAAAAGACAAGGTTAATTTAAAATAGACAGGGTCATAATTAAACAACTAAAAGTGCTCAAGAGGCGGAAACTAAGAAAGCTGGGCATGCATGAAAACGTATCCATTGTTCAAATAAAAGCTCAAAAATAAATACATATTTGCAAAAGAATCCTCGAACTTACCACCACAATGGCAACAATTGATCCAATCAATGAACCACCCAAAACATCAGACCAGTGATGTTTGTAGTCGGAAACACGGCTCAAGGCGGTGTACCAGGCCAACATGATGCCGATAAATTGCAGAAAGTGACGCATCAGTTTGGAGCCACGCCATGTCATGCGGCACTGCAGATAAATCTGAATAGAAAAACAAACAAATGTATTTTAAATTATCTTTTCGCGGTTCAATTTCCAACTTACCGCCAAGTAAACCATGCCATAGAAGGTAAAACTCGAATGTCCACTGGGAAACGATAGGGAAACTTCTTTTAACATACGTTCGGAGGAACCAACACCAGCACAATGGAAATTTGTTATATATTTGCCTTGATTTATGGCATCGGCGCATGTAGTGCCATCAGCCATGATAGGCTGGCAGACCTAAAAAAGAAAAGACATTAATTAAAAACAAGTTATATATATGTAGGCTATACGAAGGCCTGGACCTGCAGGGACAATTTTCTGTCACAGGCTGTAGCATCCATTACGAACTTCAAATACCACATCTCAAACAATTTCGGTGGGTATTGTACCTAAACTCGTCAAAATACCGAATATAGGGAGGTACTGATATATGGGGCCTATACGAAGACCTGGACCCGCACAGACAGTTTTCTGTCACAGACTGTAGTTCCCATAACGAACTTCAAACACCAATTTTGAAACAATTCCGGTGAATAATGTCGCTAAAATCATCAAAATACTGAATATTGGTAGGTACCGTTATATGAGGGCTATACGAAGACGTAAACCTGCACAGACAATTTTCTGTCATAGGCTGTAATATCCATTACGAACTTCAAATACCAAATATAAAACAATTCCGGTTAATAATGTCGCTAAAATAAAAAAAATACCGAATATCGGGAGGTCAGTCTGTCATAGACTGAAGTATCCATAACGAACTTCAAAAACCAAAATTTAAACATTTCCAGTGAATAATGTCGCTTAAATCACAAAAAAAAAAAAAAAAAAAAAAAAACAAAACGAAAATAGGGAGGTACCATTATATGGGGGCTATACCAAAACGTCGACCTACATGGCCCATTTTCAATACCAAAAGTCCGGTTGGAAAAATATTTTATTCACTTACTTCATTTCGTTCGGAAGCTAGAGTTTTTTCCAAAGACGAACAAACGCTCTCCGCTCGTATTAATCGACCGTGACATCAGAATAAATGCCGAATATTAACGCGAAAATATTCTGGAGGGTGTATAAGGTCATGGGCACGCAAACATTTGGCCGCAGAAATTGGACATTCCAACAATCGCACTCGGCACGCGCTGCCTAAGAATGGTTACAAAATGAGGTTCCTCGCTTCATTTCCAGCGCACACTGGCCACCGAAATCTCCGGATACCAATCCGTTGGACTATTATGTCTGGATTATTTTGGAAAGCAAGGTTGGCACTAAAAAAATACCAAAGTGTCGATCACTTCAAGCAAGCGCTTCGTCGGGAATGGGCCAAAATACCACAGAGCAACATTCGAGCAGCGTGTGGACGGTCTCATTGACCGTTTGAAGGCCATAATTCGTGCCAAAGGTGACCAATTCGAACAAATCTAAACTTATTCTAATATTTGATGCTATTTTCGACATTTTTTGCTTTCATTTAATAAAATTTAAAAGAAAATGTAAAAATTATGGTGTTTGACTTTGTTGCAGGTTTTTTTATCTTACCCTGTAGACCTTTATTCCAAATTGAAGACTTCCAATTCTATCCATTTCAAATTTTAGACACTAACACTAACCCTAAAACCAAAATTTTCGATCACTATCCCCTCACCCATTACAAAATTTAGTACCATTTAGTACTTTTCGTGTACTTGCAGGGTGCATTTCGAAAAACACATTCTTTTTGGGGAAGTATATTTCTATTTTTCGCAACATTTTTGTCATTTCTCTCAAGACATAATTAAATACCAACCTATTGTTATTTTAACAGCAACACTTCGTACCGAACGAAAATTCATATCCGATTTAGTATTGAATATAGTTTCAATTCAAAACAAAAACAAATTGTGGGATGGATAACCAACCACCCAAGTAGCTCATACACATATGAGACTCCAATTGAAACTAATCCTGCCAGAGAAACAAAACGAATCGCATTTCATGTTAACACACAAAATAAAAATCAAAACAACGAAAGTATTTATGGACCTAATCACCGAATAAATGCCCACGAATACAATTCAAATAGACAGGAAATTTTGAAAGAAATTCCAGCCACCGGCCACAATTGCAGATTTCGATCAAATTGCATGGCATGAATACTCTCTCACACGCACACACATGGACCGGTGTGAACATACTCCGAAATAAATCTCAATAATGAATTTGTAAAAATCACAACCAATTTATGGCGACCGAAAAGAAACAAAATCACACCATTTTTCGAAGAATTGCAGCACACAAAAGATTTTTGCCAAAAGCGGCTTACCGCAAGATTAAAACTGGCCGCTTACAAAAAAGAAAAAAACAAAACACCAAAACTCAAATAGTGTGAAAATGTAAACCGAATTCTGCAACATAGTTTCAACTTGTGTGCAGCCATGTTCGGCAGGCACACGTAAAGACCAAAGAATCAAAACGAAAACATGGAGGAAATGTGGCCATTTACATATGTGTTACACATGTCGTGTTTAACATTTGAATGTGTGTTGCTGAGGTTGTTTTTTTGGTTTTCTATTTCGCAAAACTTCGATGCGAATTGAAACAATTTTGCATAAATGTTAACAATGTTAGGCAGTAGGAGATTAGATGGCAATAAGGTATGATAAGTGTTGGTAACTGAACGAAATCGGGATAGGGGTTGATTTGACATTAGAGGACCCTCAAGTGAGTTATTCTATGCCACTGAAGAGATCCCACAGTTTTAAGAACACATCTTCTTGGGACATTTTATATACAACATTTTTTTTTTTTTGAAATTTAGCGCTATAGCGATGCGAAAAGTACTAAATAGTACAAAATATTGGACCATGGGCTGAACGGGTAAAGCTTTCAAAATCTTAGGAAAGCTTTGACGAGGACCATTCATGGTGAGTAAATGTTTTCTAACGCATTCCTATAAAAAGTGTACGACAAGTATAAAATAGTATGGAGTATTGTGTCATGTGATGTATTGGAAGAACAACTGAAACTGAAATCTGCACAACTGACATATGATAACGCCAGAATTTTGAAAATTAGTACTATATAGATACGAAACATACTAAATAGTATCAAATAATGTATCATTTGCTATAAATGCCGCTTTAATAAATTCCGATAAAATACCGAATATTGAGTGAACCAATATAAGTAATTTCCTGCATTGCAAGTACCAAATTTGGATCTCTGCAAGGATGTTTCTTATATTTGCCGCCAATTTACAGCAAACTCGGTTTAAAATTGTAACGAAAACACGCAAAAAAAACCTTAAATCGGCCGGTGCCCTTACATGGGGCTAAACGTGGGCCAATGCTCCATTTTCAACACCAACACAAAATTGAAATTTTGAACACCTACTTCAAAGCGACTTGATCGAAAGTAGCGTGCAGTGGCCGAAAAATGGCTCGTGAGTTGAGCCATTTCTCAAAATTCCATTCGGCAAATATGGAAAAATAGGCTCGGAGTAAAGCCATCGAAATTCCAAAATTGCAAGAACTTACACCGCAACAGAAAGAAAATAGTTTCAAAGTGCAAAAGAGTTTCTTCGCTTTGCCGAATGTGATGAACTGTCGTAATTGGTTTTCTCCGATGAGAAAACATTCGATGTCCAGCAGTTTGTAAACAAACAAAATGATCGTGTTTACTTGCAAAAGAGGTCAGCTGAAAAAGCGCTGGCCATGGTGGGCTGCCATAACAAGAATAGTTACAAAATGAGGTTCCTCACTTCATTTCCAGCGCATAATGAACACCAAAATCTCCGGATACCAATCCGTTGGAATATTGTGTCTGGTGTCGATCACCTCATGCATGCGCTTCGCTGGAAATGGGCGAAAATACCGCAGAGCAACATAAGGACAGCGTGTGACTGGCCGTTTGAAGGCCATAATTCGTGATAATATGATAATGTGACCAATTCGAACAAATCTAAACTTATTATAAATAATTTGATGCTATTTCCGACATTTTTGCTTCCATTCAATAACATTTAAAAAAATGTAAAAATTATGGCGTTTGACTTTGTTGCGGTTTTTTTAATCTCACACTGTAGAATCTTTGGCAACGTTATTTACCCAAAAACAAGTCACCAAAGGGGTGGTTTTATCCCTTTTCAAGAAATTGTTAATAACTCTATTTAAACGGGGTCTTACAAGTCAAAACATTTCCCTTTTTTTGGGTTAAAGTCGTACTTTAATCACCTTCTGCAAAAATCTTCTACAACCCGTCACTGTAGGATATCATATCAAAGGAAAAAAATATTCTTCATAAAATTTAACTACAAGTTACCAATGAAGTAAATGTCTATTTCCATTATCAAGAAAAATTTTCCCCAAAAATGAAAATATTTCCTAATTCAATTCAATTTAATCTTTTGAGTTTATGCATGAAAGTAACATGAAACTTCGAATTAGACAAAAAGTATCAAACGAAGAAGAAATATTATACGCCATATCTAGCTAGATATAAGGGATTTTTCAAAAAAAAAATCGTCGAAAAATACAACTTAAATGACACCCGTTATATGAGGGATATACGGAGACCTAAAATATTAACTTTTTATAGGATGTAGTATCGATTCGGAGCTTCAAATACGAAACAATTCCCTTGAATATTGTCGCTAATATCATCCAATTTGAAACAATTCCGTTGAATAAAGTTACTAATATCATCAAAATACCGGATAAAGGGAGTTACCGTTATATGTGAGCTATACGAAGACGTGGACCTGCATAGACCTGCACTTTGTGGATTTTCAGAAATTTTCATTGTCAAATGTGGCTAATATCATGAAAATACCGAATATAGGGAGGTACCGGGGGCTATACCAAAACGTGGACCTATATAGGAAATTCTCTTCCAGGAAGTAATGTACTCAGAAGGAAAATGTGGCTAAGATCAAAATACCAAATATCGGAAGGTACCGTTATGTGGGGGGTAATGATATCGTGGACCTATATACACAATTCTCATACAGGCGGTAAAGTACCCACTAAGAACTCCATGTGTAGAATTTCAGACAAATCCATTGAAAAATGCGCCTAAAATCCTCAAAATACGAATATCAGGGGGTACCGTTATATGGGGACAATACGATATCGTGGACCGATATAGCCCATCTTCGAAACAAAAGACTGAGATAAAAGACTAATCTGTACAAAATGTTAGCTTCCTCTATTAACTCGTTTGACTCTAGCGTGATTACAACAGATCAAAATATATTTGAATAT